TGCTTGACCCAAGAGAATTCTGCCGATACATTTGAACCAGTTAAGCGCTTGGCCCCTCAAAGCGCTGGTAGCTAAGGTAACTTTTTGAAACTCGTGCACGGGGTAGAGCATGAAGTGGTCCTCCAATTTTTCCAAAAAACTGGTTACCGGTGAGTTTCCGTTAAACGTTGCTTCTGGTTTCATCGAAGCGCGCATGGTCTGGACGATGTAACCGAATCCTTCCAGGGCGGCAGCTGGCATTTCTGGATTCTGAGCCGTTTCTGCAGGCAGCACAGGTTCTTCTTGAAACTCGGGCATGGTTATTCGCCCCACGTTGGGCGCCACTATCAGGTTCAACGTTCCTTCTAACCTTCTTCGGGAACATACAAGGACCTGACTAGGAACAGAGAGCTTACTAAAGCTATGTTCACTAATTGTAGTAAGTAGACAGGATACAGACGAAGGGTATACAAAACCCTTTATTTTTCTCTATATACAATAACTTCCGTACTTCGGAATACAATGACCCGCCACTCGGGGTCTAACGTAAAAGTATAAAAATAAAACTAAACTCTAATTCAACTTTAGAATAATGCACGTGGAAGATTGGCCTTATAATAACAGGAAGCGTATGTAGCACAGAGACTGTGAACACTACAATACGTTTTAATTTATCAAGAGGATTAAAAACCTGTGGCCTGGAAGGCAATCAGCAACTGCGTAACGTTCTAAGGTAAGCGGCCTGCGTTTGACTTACTGCTTCCTCTCCTCTCTTCTTGCTTGGCAAAAAGCTACAACTTAAGTACTTGGCGTTCGCCAGACAAACTTTGCATAAAATCCTTCACGCTTATAATTCTGGCCGGAAGTAGAAAATAAGAAGTGATAGTAAAGATTTAAAATAAAATAAACGTTAGTAAAACTTAAGATCCTTACAGGGGCAGTGCTGCGAAATGTCCAACTGTGGTAAGGTAGCTTTCCTGCAAAGCCGGTTTAGGCTTGCCAGAAAATGGAAAGAAAAGACAGGGTTGCCAGATTTGGCAAAATTGTTCATTTGGCGACCGAATTGGAGATATACCGTAGACAGAGCGAGAACATTCTAGAACGAATTCTTACCGGGCTTCCAGAGAATGTTTTCGAAGGCGGTGTCAAAAGCTATAAATATCCTGCCTGTACGCGGACTTGCAGTTTTATCTTGAGCACATTGAGTTCAGAGTTTACAACCTGATATCTGTTTCAGCGTGTTTATCGTAGTTTTTCGAGGGCTTTAACGCATCTTTGGAACTGTCCTGTAGAATACTGACGAATAAATTGTGTTTTGATTCTTCATCAAGTGTTGCCATCAATCACTCCAAATCGACGAACGCGTAGAACGCAACAATATTATGAATCACAACCAACATACTAATTAAGCCTTCCATGAATATTAAAGAGAACGCATATCGAAGTGTGAAAATGAATTACTTCATAAAGTTATAAATTTATATGCAAAATTTTGTCGCTCTTATTACATGCAGATGCAATAATGAACATTGCAGAGTTTTTATGATGGGAAAAAGAGGTACAGAAGCCTTTTTTTCCTGTTAAGTACAACTGAAGAAAATGTTTTGCCATGCACTGGTTTGGTGAAATAAAAAAAATCATTTAAACAAAACATATGTTTGTTGTTCACGGTAGGGTAATTAGAAAAAATAAGAATTCTGCATTTACCCTAGTAGTAGATCTTGTAATGATTCAGCTTCAGAGCGTATCTTTCTTTCTTATTATGAATTGAGAAACTGAAAGTACAGTTAATTACAGATAAGAAAAATAACCGTAAAATTTGTAAGTTTACTTTAAAAAAAAAATTTTTTTTGTTCGGTTTAAAATGTAGACTATAAAAAACAACATGTCTTCTTTAAAATGTCTTTTTTTAAAGTATCTTAGATGTTTTTAGTTTAGTGAGCAGAAGCATTAAATAGTTTCATTTTACTGAAAAAGGATTCTTTCTGATTACCTTTATTAAAAAATAATCAATCATGCGAGAAGTGATCTCAGATGGTAATTTTTAGTTATGATTGACATTCAAAATCATATGCTTATAAAACATTTCAAATGATACATAAAAACAATGACATTTTCTTTTCTTATTCCAAAGAATTGGCTATTTAAATTAAAAAAAACATTGAAACATTTCATGCATTCAAAATAAAAGTTCAAAGAGTAAAATATATGAAGTTTTTATCCTTGAAAACTGTCTGCTGTAAGGGCACTTTAACGCCAGACTGATGAAGCTCTTACGAGTATTTTACATTTTACACTTCAGATTTTCTAGTTAAAAAATTCCGTAGACAAAGAGTCGCCGCAAAAATAAAATCTCACTCAGAAACTGAATGTAATTTTACTATAAAAAATTAATATATTTGAAGATTAAGATACACCGAGCAAAAGCATGACTTTAAAAACTAAAAGACATCTATCAGTACTTTTGCTCTGAATACTAACTGTAATCCAGTTTCCTTTAAAATGCTCTTACCTGAGTTGGATTTCTAAAGTGATGAGCCCACCAACGACCGAGCGGTAAACTCGCTGAACACTGGTAGTCCCGACCTGAGTTCGAATCCAGGCGAATGGGCATTTTCGTGATTTTCTCCATGTGTAACGAATATACGAACCAGTTTCCCTTAGAAAGACCTCCACGAAAGCATTCCTTCCCTTAGGCAGATAACCTTAGTCTGTTACAAACTAAACCAAACCAAACCTAAGGGATAATTTTACAACAGTTTAGCGGCAGCCATGATAAAATACCTACCTATCAACATTTCGAATAATCTTTCACCCTAAACCGATTACTAGTTACTTCTACTTGCTACGAAATGATTCACTATGTCTTAAAAAGAAACGACAAATAATTCAACTTTTTTCACAAAAAGGAATCAAAAATTAAATGTTTTTAGAGAACATAAATATAATGGTTCTCTTCCTCTCTCTAATGCTACCATTAATGGTTCGAAGTGATTTATTCTTCTATGAAGCTAGTCGTCTTAGAAAGATGAGATTTAATGCCAAAGTTTCATAACTATACTGGTCACTTACACAGGTGTTCGTCCTAAAAAAATAGTTCGCTGTACATTATAAAAGTTCAGTAAATAACTAAAACATTTTCGAATAAAGTATATCCTCAAAATTAAATAACTGTTTTAAAGTGCTTATAAGAAATCTGTAAACTTAAAGTTAAATATTAAGAATCCTCTTAAAGCGACCATTCAGAATACCATATCTTTCCAGTCTTGGGTAGATGCGGTCATCTTGCGTAATGATTAAAACCTATGTTTATTTCTGTTCCCAGAAGCACTAGTCGTCTTAGGGAGATACAAGTCTTTCTAAGAGAGCTCACTGTAATTATATATAATTTCTAAAATCAAACTCCGTTTAAATTTTCTAGCAACATTGATATGAACCATCTCTTGAGAAAGTACTCCAAAAAGATGTTCTTTCCTTTAAACAGATAGTAATGGTGTTCTTTTGCATAATCCAATAAATCCAAATGAATGCTCTACTGAACTAATATGTAGCTGATATTCGTTATAATTAATAAATCGACATCCAAATAATTGACTGCACGCTATACATGAAAATGTTAACGGCACTTTAAGAATAAACGAATTTTTTAAAATAATTTTCCACGAAATTCATAATCATATAATTTTTACTAAAAGAATATCAAATTAACAAATGTGAAAGAAAATAATTTGACAATTAATTAAACGACTCAGGTAATCTCAAGCAGTTACTTATCTTCCTTTCTCTAAACTTTTCATGAAATATTATCAGTAGAAGTTTATAAAAAAGATCAGTTTATCTATGACGTTTATTAGTTAACTAAGCAAGTTTTAAAGTCTATTAATTGCTATAAGTTGCACTAAATTTCTACTCATTTACAGCTTTTAAATGCTTAAATTTTTTTCTTACTTTTTCAGCAAAAATGTATTAGTAAATTCAAAATTATGAAATAAAAATAGTCCTCTTTCCTTCTTGCGTTCACAAATCATCATGCGAATATGCATTTACAGCTTTTAAAACCCGAAAAACGCATGTCTGCAATGTTATCGTCATGGGACGATTTGTAGGTATTTATTTTTTACCATGATATATTCGACGACTATATTTTATAACACGATGCTTTAACTGCGATGTTTTCTCTTTGCTTTCTTTTCTCCCACGATGCTTTGTACCACGACGTTTCCGCCTTGCATTGTTTCTCCGCGATGTTTTTCGGCATGGAGCCTCTTTAGGATGCTTCATTGGATTAGAAGTACCAGTCATGGGACAGTACCCCTTATCATCCCATATGATAAAATCTGATGCTCTGTACGCTCATTACTGTCCTGTCTTATTTTTGCTTTAGGAAAGTTAAGAAAAAGGAGAGTGAGAGGCCCTGAGAAAACACTCTGCCTAGGGCCCTATTTTAAAATGCTACTACGATCTACGTCCTACTACGATCGATACTACTAAGATCTAATCCTACTACGATTGATACTTTTACGATCATTGTTTAGGACTAACACTAACCCATGGTTTCTATTTTTAATTTGAATGAAAATCTCTTAAGATTCCATAACCGAAAAGAATGTTGATTTAGATCTTTCGTAAAAGCGAAGTTAAACGCTAGCAAAACGATGGAAATTTGCACTAGCATAGGTGAGAAAAGAGTAAATGTATTTGCAATGAAGAAAGTATAACATTTTTCAAAAGCCGAAAACAAAATAATATTCTTTGGCAATATATAGCTATTAAAAATGTTGATAATATGCTTTTGATAAAAGATAGTAAATTAGTATCTGGTTATGTTTTACTTCTGTTCTTAATTCATTTATAAAGTTCGATACGACTCTCCTAGTGTTCCATTCTCTAATTCAAGTAACTGAACATTAAACTAAACTTATATCCTTGAAACCTTTTGTGAGATTTAAATCCCTGGGTGGACCTGAGACCTTTAAAATTACAACTGTTCACGGCTCATTTTTGCTGGAAAAAAAGGCACGCTCAGGGCACAACTACCGATATCACACCTATCCTATACAGCGCGTCAAAAACAAATTACCCAGAATTTTTATTTCCGCCATATCTGATGCGTTGATTTAAGCAAAAAACCAGTTCTTTGGAGATATCATATGAGGGAAAGAGCTTCAAACGGAACATTTTTAATTCAGTTTCCAAAACCGCAGCATAGCTAGGCGAGACACAAGTTTCAACGAAACATAGGCGATGGACTAGTTCGTTTCTCGGAATAGTTAGCTCGTTTCTCCTAGCCTCGGGAGTCCTTAGGTATGATTATCCTGTTTAAGATCGCGATTAACAATTAACTAACATTTGCTCTTAAATCATTTTATTTCATTCTTTACTTGCGTATTTACAAAGTGCGCATATAAAATACACAAAATAAACTAAGAAAAGTAAACCTAATAACTAACAGTCCGCATAAGAAAATGGTTAAGCAAAAGAAAGTATTTTACAATCTTCTGGACGTGTAAAAGTTTCTTATAGTATTGATTTTGGGTTTGATAAGCAATGATTTTCTTGATCATTTTACAAATTATGTTTGAACTTTAAACTGAGTTGCATTAAAAATAACACACAATATTAATAATATTTTTCTAACGTTTAATGATCCTATTATACGTTTCTGTCTGTTAATGTACATCAGGATTTGGATTATTTCAAGGAGTTAGGATAGATATTTACACTTAAACTAATGTCATGAAACAGACTGTAATATAATTGTATTTTTCGCAGTGCAGTATGTGACACGGTCATTTTCCTATTCTTGGGAATGGTTCTCGTGGACGATCAACACGTCTGGCACACAGGATTCGTTCTGTGGTCGGCAGGTCTCTGCTTAATCGTCCGATTCGCGAGTGAGTATTTTTCTTGTTAAATATAAACTCTTAAAAATCTAGATTTTGTCTCTTCTGTAAATTTTAAATCTGTAGAACTGATTTGAGAGCTGTTTCCCTTAACATAGCTCATAACAGAAATCTCAGATAAGACTTAGCGAAAGCCTAGAAATATAATTCAGCATCATCTTTTTCATGTGTTTGTGTTGAGTGTACGTGTCACACTCTAGTGAGTGAATTGTATGTTCAAATGCTATTGCTAAAAATAATAATTATTATTCAGCATAATTTAGACCGTTGGTTCTCAACGGAGGCAGCACCGTCCCCAAGCGGACAGTGGAAGAATGCTGAGGGGCGATGAACATGTTTTGGGCAGCAAGAGGGCGAGGCGATGAGCATGTTTTTTTGGCATTCTAACTTAATTTTAAAACTCCCCAAAAAATTTATTAAATCGATTATTCGATTTACACCATTTGTATCAGCAATAAAACGAACTTACGCGACGGCTCCCCTTATGCATTTCTACGAATGGTGAGACGAATCTGCAAAAAAATTCATCCTGACAAACAAAATAAAAGTTTGTCGTTTTTCTCGAACATCAGAGCCGAGTTTCTGAAAACACCGTCTGTTCCAAGCTGTACTAGCAACCTCATCAAAAAAATTTCGACGGTGGTTTGATAGCCTTTTATAATATATCAAAATTAATTGCTAAGTTGGGGAAAGTCATACCATGAGCGAAAAGTTAATACTGCTGGCTGTCAAGGAAGTTTTAAAAACGGTTTTACACCATCCACCCGCATCCAGTGTTATAAAAAATGTCCTATTAAGTAATGATACAGTGCGGCGACGAATTGATGTCATGGCGGAATATGTTGAAGCTTCGTTATGCAAACTTTTTATTACCCACCTAATTTTCTCTTCAGGATGATGACTCAACCATGCCAGGTACTAATGAGGCTTCACTGTTAGCGTATGTCCGGGTTGTGAAGGAAGGAAAAATTATTCAAGAGATGCTTTGTTGCAAAAAATTTGATTGCAGGTACTAAAAGTGAATCTATTTCTAATACTGTCAAAAATTATTTTAATGAGAAAAATATTCCTCTTGCGAATATTATGTCTGCTGCCACCGATGGAGATCCTGCAATGGTAAGGTCATCATCAATGGGTTCGTTGCTCTTTTGAAGAAAGAGGTACCCAGTATTTTAGCTGTTCACGGCATGATTCATAGACAGTAATTAGTTACAAAAACCTCAGTTACCGTTTGCATCACTCGTTACAATATTCCACATCTATAGTGAATGAAATTCGCAGTAATGCTCTCAAAGATCGATTATTTGGGCAACTGTGTAAGGACAACAATGAAGAATTCAGTCGTTTGCTTCAATCACACCGAGGTTCGCTGGCTTTCCAAAGGCACCTGCCTCAGTAAGTTCTGGGATCTTTTCGACTCTGTACTTGAGTTCCTCGAAGAGAAAAATGGAGATCTGAAAGACAAATTACTACAATTACAGGTTAATGCTGCTTGCATGACCGATTTATTTGCAAAATTCATTGGAATTAATTTGCAGCTTCAAGGTGAAGAGCTCAATTTGATCACAGCAAATTCTGTTATTTCTGCCTTCCTAAAAAAACTCACTTTTTTAGGAAAGCAGAAATAGCAAAAATTTAGTCGCAACGAGTTCACCCAGTTTCCAATCTTGTCTGATCTTCATCGTTCGATGAAAAACATGTTTACTGTCAACACCTTTAGTCTTTGCACCAGAACTTTTGAGCGGATTGGGGATATTTTCTCCCTGAAAGTTCCTCAGAAAAAGTTCACGAGTTTCCTCAGAAACTCCTGAAAGTTCATAAAAGGGTCATGAACCCTTTTATGAATACTGAGACAGCAGAGGAAGAACTGGTCGAATTTTCAACTAATGAAACTTTGAAAGCCAGCTTCCAAAATGGTGATCATCTCACTAAATTTTGGCTTAAAAGAAAAAAATCAGTCACCTCTACCCAGGATTGTGGAATATACCGTCAAAAAATTTTTAATTGATTTCCCTTTCTTCTACTTTGTCGAGCGAGGAACAAGCGCTGTGGCTGATCTAATTACAGAAAAGGGAAGTCGACTCCAAATCGGGGAAAGAGAGGACTTGTGCCTTCATCTCTTTAAAAATACTGAACCGAACGTTCAGAAGCTGGCTCCGAACCATTAAGCACAGACATCCCATTCATCATACTTGATTGGTCCATTGATATTACTCTTTTAGTTTTTTTTTTTTTTTTTTTTTTTTTTTTTTTCTGTTCTTTCTTAATTATTTAATTAAGAATAAGGAATTTTTAAATATAAAACATCGCTTAGGCAATTTTTTCTGGGATTATTCATTTCAATATAACAAAAGGAATGTAATTAGCTTATAAGGTATTTCTCCCGCCTTATTAACGAGCCTTCGTGGTGTAGTGGTCTGCACCCTCAGCGTGTAATTGAGAGATCCGCGTTTCGATTCCTGGCGAAGGCGTTGCATATTTATCATCTTGCCTGCTTCCAAAAATATACCTAATGTCTCTACAACCGTCTAGGCAAAACTATCGAGTTAAATCAAGCAAATTTGGTGCATAAGTCAACTGGAAAGAAGTCACTTAGAATCTTTGCTTTTTATAATTCAGGAAACCCTTTTCCCGTACTTAAATTACAGGATTTTCACAAAGGGAGACGTTGAAAAATGTTTCGCTCCTTAGAAGGGCGGCAGCTTCGAAAAGGTTGAGAATCACTGATCTAGACGAAATGAATTTCTCTGTTGAATGAAACATACATTTATTAGATATTAACCTACATGCTAGTAGGTTAGGTTAGGTTATTTAGCACCCGAAGGCTGTCTACCTAAGGGGAGGAGTACCTTTGAGGAGGACTCGCTAAGGGAACTGGTTTATATTAGCGTTACACATTAAGAAACCCCGAAAACCAACCTTGCAGCCTATCCGAATGGGATCGAACCCGGGTCACATTCCCAGCATTCAACGGTCTGAATCATATGCCCGCTGATGGGTCACATGTTAGTAAAAAAAAAAAAAGAGTCCTATGTTCAAAATGATTGAATTAAAGATTTTTTACACATACCTCATCAAATTGGGAGTGTTATGACAAAATGAAAGCCAATGATCTTTTATTCTAATTCTAAGTAGAATCTGTCTTCAGAGAGCAATGCGATATTTGTATTAAAATGCAAAGTAATTACAACTCTTAAAAACAAGGAAAGAATTAGCACTTAAAAAGCACTTTTTTGATTCAACATACGTGATACTTAAATTTGCAAAACTGAAACAAATTCACAAACTGGACATAGATACAGATACTGTGAATAAAAGATTTTACAAATTTTCCTGTAATATTTAAGGGTTTAAGAGCTTCTTTGCAAAATATAATCGCTCATTACATGTATCATAATTAAATGTTTATTGTACAAACATCATTATGCTCCCTATGGTCTCCGTGGTCTCCGTATATTTTGGAAGGGGGAGAATCAGCAAATACTCTTTAGTAGCTTTTCCAAAATTCATTCAACGTTTTGCTTTGTTAGCGAATACAAACGTTTAAATGTGGTCTCCAAACCGTCCATGGCGAGTTACCGATAACTCAAAGTAATAGACAGTATCAGTAATGTACACTAGTCATCAAAATTAAATGTTCAGTTACGTTTTATTTCTATCATTATTTTTTAATTTTGATTACCAGCGTGTATAATTACCATATCGGTAAGCATGTTTCACAAGTGCACATCAGCGTAGCTACTGAGGGAGGAGTTTCGAAAATGGACCAATGAGCTGCTATTGCTCTTGTGACGCTAAATCTTCGTGCATGTGAGCGTTTTAATTTGCATTTGTTTCGCAGTTATAAATTCTATGGCCTCGTAGTGCTTTCGTTTTCTGAGTTTGATTAATCGCTGACATTTCACTTTCGCTATTTTTGTCATGTATTAATGTTAGGATTGGGCATATTATGTGGATTAAAAGAACTCAAGTGTATTTTTTTTTTTTTTATTTTTTTCTTTTTTTTCTTTTTTCTTTTTTTTAAATAGAGCTGAGAATGACTGAAAGTATTACAATGAATTTATTATTTATTATTTCAGTGCTTGTATTCTTTTGATTTTAAAGGGTGAGATTCAGAATATATATCTGATCTGATTATATCCATAGTTAACATTAAAAATTATATGTGAATAATTTGAATATGCTCGTTGTGAACACAATAAATTCACTCTGTTTCATGAGTATTTCTTGTGTAGACAGTACATTTAAGAGTGAGTAATTATTAAATGTGAAATTTAACACACTAAATGTATTCGATTGCAAATTAGTAAAGTTCACTTTGAATAAAATTCTGCATTGGTTATTATTATAGAACATCTTTTTCATATAGACTGCAATAAAAAGTGCTGACTTCTATTTACATATATAACTGGTGTAAATATTTTTCTCATACGCATAATTTTCTGTAAAGATAGCATTTGGGCTCAGATGTTTATCACATATTTCTTTCTTCATCTTATTTACCACTTATTAAGTAATATTTCACACCGATTTTTTTGCGAAGTATCCAACATGTGTATTTATTTCAACCAAGTAGTAAAATCTTCAAAATTTCCTGTAATTGATTTAACTTCGCAATGAAAAGTTTCAGAAGCAATCGACGATGCTTTAATTATTTTTCACATAAAATTGCGTGGCAGAATATTTTCAACCCTTTTGCTTAAATCTTAAAGCACGCGAAACGTCATGTGACATGACAGAAATATTACTGGATGCTCATTGGTTCATCCTAGAAGCCACTCCTTCGGTAGCTACACAGATGTGCACTTGTGAAATATGCTATCGGTAATAGGTATAATGGTTCCACCAGAGTTTCACCATTTGCCATACAGGCATAATTCCATAGCACCAACTGTGCAGCTGCGTCCCAGTTTTGATGAAGAATACCCTGGGGCAAGGTACAAGAGTCTCACATTACCAGAAATGATGTTATTTAGTGGTTATTTGAGTAACAATGAAATTCCATTCCGACAGCTTAACTATGTCTTCATAGATAGCGGTGACAGATAACGGTCTTCATACGCTACAGTCATATGAAGACCAGAACCTTAAACAGAAAGATAATTGTTTCCTATGCTTAGAAAGCGGTACTGAATTCTCGAAATTATGTTGGGGAATATTCACCTTTCTAGATATGTCCATTTGTGTTTGATCTGCTGATCGATTCTATCACATCTGGCAGTTATCGCCTGGCACATCGATCACATCTGGCAGTCATCCACCTAAACAATGTCTTTCAGACGAGATTAACATCTGATCACTTTTAAATCTACAGCTTTAACAGAAGCTGTCAGATTAGTTTCTTCTAAACTAAAAACTGAGGTAGTACATACATGTTTTACAAGAGAATAACTACACTGTATTACGCAAAATTAATTACAAATGAACATTAAATTACTTTCTAATAGCCATCCTACTTCACCCGCATCTCGTTTGAGAGCAAAATATATACGTATATCGCTGTATGCATGTAATTTAAAAACTGTAGTTAATGCCTATTTTTTTAATGTTTCGCAAATTTTAAATTTGGGGGTTCTGCTTTCTATGAGTAGATTAATTGTCAGACTTCTTTTTGAAAAGCTCTTCTTTTTTAGTTTTTGTATTCTAGTATTTGTAAATAAGTAATTTATATAATCTTTTTGATGGTTTGTTTTTTAAATTTCAGACAAGGTGGATAGACACTAGCTTCTTCGATTTTCTCAATTATTAATTGCTAAGATGTCATCCACATATCTGTAAAAATTTTGAAAAATAGATCCGTTGGTCATGATTAAGCTCTTTTTGGAAATGAAATTCAAAGAGGTACACTGCTAAAAAAAAAAGGCAGTTCTATACCTCCCTTTCTACTGGGCCGATTGACGAAATTTAACTTGCGTTTTTCATGTCTCAAAGCGCGACTTAGATATGTGTTAGATTTATACATAGCAGTGTTCTAATGTAGGTATTTTGACATAAAATTGGATTTTTCTGAAGTGACATGCCAATTGTTTTCCATGTTTCTATTTTACGACTCAAATTATGCCAAACTGCCAAGTTTTCTAAAAATCGCACGAGTAGTTTTTAAAACATTAGCTTTCAAAATTTTAGCTCTTCAGTGTTAATTGAATTTGATATATATATATTAATAGCTCTCTTTTTTATATTAAACTTACTTGATTCCTTCTTCCAGAATTCGAAATTTAGGCTTAATCCAAATATAATTTGCACCTTTTTCATAATTTATTTTTAAAATTTGTACTTTTAAACATTTTAAAAAAATTTTTCGAAAACTTTTTTGTATTATGACGTATAAAATTTGTAACATAATCTTAAAGTAGAAAAACAGTTTCCTATAAATTAAGAAGTTTGCCAAGAGAATTGTTCTTGGCGCAAACTGAAAAAAATGCGCCAAGATAAATTTTTGAATTTCTCGGTAAATTTCACACCAAATTTTATAAAATTTTATATTTTGGCATAATTTGAATCGTAGAATCGAAATATGAGAAAAAATGGCATATCACTTCAGAAAAGTCCGATTTTGTGTTAAAATACCTATGTTAGAACACTGCTATGTATAAATCTAATATATATCCTAAGTCGCCCTTTCCAAAAACGCAATTTGAATTTTGTCAATCGGCCCAGTAGAAGGAAAGATATAGAACTGTCCAAATTTTTTTTTCCGCAGTATATAAGTTACATAGCGTCGAAGATGAGTTAGAGCCCATAGGGATTTCGTTAACCTGTCTGTAAATAGCATTACTAAATTTGATGTAATTGTGAAATAACACACTTTTAAGGTAAATAGGCCAATTTTCTTATGACACTACTATAAGACCTCAGGGAAAAAAGGTGGTAGTGTTAAGTCTTATTCGACTAGCGCGAAGGCTCCACTGTTCGCTGTCACGGTATATTAGGATAATGCCCCCGCACTAGAAATCTATCGGCTATGTAGCGCTAACACACATCCCGAGTTTGGTTTTCAGTGCATTTTAATTGGATAATTAATACTGTTGTAAAATGTTTATTGGTTGCTTGAGTTTTAATTCCATTTACATCATCAGAATTATGTAAGAATAATGTGGCATGGATTAGTCCCGAAATGGCGCGGTGCAAAGAGAAATTACTATTTTTAGAGCAGAGCAGGGAAATTAATTTACGCTGCTAAGTAAATTACGCTGCTGATTTAAATTATAAGTTATCTTTTACATATTTATTATTTTTCTCACACACGCACGAATATATATATCATTTTTCGAGTAAATGTAATAGGCTTTATATAATTCGACTGAACAGTTTTGTCCAAATTTGTATAAAATTTTAATTAATTAAATGTTATTTTAGAATCTTTCTTATTGATTTAATTTAGTTTATGTTATTAGTTTGTTTTTGCCTTTGTAGGTTATTTTTAGGTTTTTCACTACTTTTAAGCATTTGTATATAATTATTACTCCAATTTGAGTATGAATGCATCTAGGGAAAAGATCTGAACATTTGTGAACTATTTAAAATTATTTTTAAGTGAAAGTTTGGTACTGAAAAGCGGTTTTATGTCTCAGATGGTTCAGAAGAACTAAACATGTATTCGGAACTCACTAGTCTTGGTTTTAGGCTTAGAACTTGGTTTAAGGCTTCAAAACACTTTTCCCTTGACAAGTTCTGTTTGAAGCGCTAAACAGAGGAGATTGATAAAAAATTATTTTATTTTGTTATATATCATGTTCTGTAATTTTAAAAAAATTTTTTTTTTCGTTTTAATTTTCATTTAACGAATCTGTTTTTGAAATTTTCATTAATTTGTGTTTATTCAGTTTTGTAACTCTTACCGGAGAGGAAAGGTTAGGTTCATTTATTTTCGTTCCGACTTTTACTTTTTGATTTTTATCATTTTCAATTTAACAGCCCAAACGCAGATTCGTCTCTTCGCTTTTTTAATTTTTAAAACTTCAATAATGACTATTCTCAAGAGTATGTGTATATACACGAATATATACTGTTTTAGAAATATTTGACTACATTTCAAGAAGAAAACATTTTTGTTATATGTATTTCTATGCCAAAAATATAGAATTATCTCAGGGATTTTGTAGAATCTCCTAGAAATGACCCGAACATTTGTTGAATTAGAAAACTTCAGCTATTATGATTTTTTTAAAATTCTTTGTCTTTTCCTAACAGTTACAAAAGAATTATGTACAGATATTATGTTACACTATATAACAGAAATTTATTGTAATATCTAACTTGTAGGTGTTTTTCTATTGACGTATTGTGCGAATAAACTGGAGAGAACTCATCGCATCAATGAAGAGGAACAGTTTATAATGGTTTGTATGCAAGTGACTGAAAAATTAAATGTTCATTTCTAGTAAATACAACGTAAATAAATAAAGGGGTTTCCAAATGAAGACGTATTCACATGTCTGATGATTATTCCTTAGACATTCTAAGTGGCAGTGTTGAAGGAAGGAGTTTAGATCTTTGCTGTTGACTGACTACTTTCCATTGCCCCTTTGTGGTAGAAAAGAGGTCGGAATAAAAGTTTATGAAATGTGTATCAATGGCTTAGAAGTTAATTTCCAGCTAGAATACCGCAATATTTATATAAAAAATATTTCGTCACCATCGCTGGTGATGTTAAAAAAATAATATATTATGGGATAATATAGACAGCTGGAAAGTAATTAGATTCTGAGTATGAAGTAAATGATGATTAAGATGCAGATAGATTATCTACAGCTTATAATAATCTTCTAATATTAGTTCAATGGAAAATAATGAATGCCTTATCCTCTGATAAATAGATACTATAACTTTTTTATCGAATTTTATAATGTAAATAATTGTTTGATACAGTTTTGTATTTTATTTACTTGTTAAAGCATCTTTTTTTTCCGCATTTATGGTATTAAAATTAAAGAATGCTTCATAGAATTGATGCAATATAGTATTCAGATGATTGTTGTGAATTATGTGGGTGATTTTTGTGTGTATATTGATTGATACACTAACTTAAGTAATGTTACTTCATATTTTTAAACCACATCTATTTTTGGAAAATTTCTTATGAACGTTTTTCTCCATGCAAATTTTTAGATAAAAAATTTCATAGAATTTAATTGTTCAGTATCTTAAGCTAGTAATGCAATCATATTAACAAAACGCATTTATTTTACATAAAAAGAATTTTGAAAGTTAAAAGGAAATACCTTTTATTTTTATTTACTTTTTATTTTTAGAAAGAACGCCACTTTTTTAATTATATTTTTTCTTAGGCATATGGAGGTCTGAGAGGAGCTGTAGCTTTTTCTTTGGTTATTATGCTTGACGATATAGAACATAAAAATCTTTTCACAACAGCCACCCTGTTTATCATCCTTTTCACAGTTTTCATTCAGGTAAATGGAAAGTTTTCTTCATCTCTAAATTTCATTGCAGTGGCTATTGAAGAATGCATTTGCGTATGTCTTCTCTGTTGATATTATGAAACTACTTTTGACAAAATCCAGGAATTAGAATATTGGTGATAGTACTGCAGATGGCATTAGACTTCAGACCATGAATGGCAGTATTTCGCCTTCTTCTTCATTATTGGATCATTGTTTAACTGATTGTGATCAGCAGGTATATAAGCTAACGAGATATTTCTGTCCTTAATGTATGTAAAATAAGTAAAAAGGCAGTCAGATGGAGTCACAATTTCACGTGTGCACATAAATGAGAGAAATTATCATTTTTTCCTTGCCTTAATTTTAAACTATAAGGTAATGAGGAATATTTTTGAACCAATCTAAAGTTTTCTCTCTTTAGGTACTCGTTTCTCCTAATGCTATCTACAACTTGCATAAAATTAAAATCATGCGTCTAAGCATAAGGGTAAATAATGTTAACATAAGAATACATGAATAACAAACAAATATATCAGCCAAATTCTTCAGATTCTAATTTACACGAAGAGAGTTTTTAAAATTTAACAATGTAGATCTATGTTTTCCACGTCTACCTATCGTTTCTACTCTTTCTCTATTGTTATAGTCCTTTATATTTCATATGTGCCTGTAACTTATATGTCCAGAACTCAAAGATTGGTAAGATTTCTGCATGTATGGAGCAAATACACACGAATAGAGACAAATATAGCAAACTGTTTATTTTTCAGTATCTGACACAATATGATAATAAAAACAATTTCGAAATAACCTATGAAAGTAGCAGTAGCAGTATTTTATGTAAAGGTTAAACCTGGGAGTTGGACATAGTTAACAGTTGATTGAAAAATATTTACTAATGCCCAAGTAATTTGATTTTTATATAGGGAATATGTCTTACTCGAATTGTGATGCAGCAATCACAACGCCATGGTTCTCTCTTAACCAATTGATTTAGCAACTCCTAGGACTGAAGTTTTCCTTTTCTGTTTTAAACATGGATAGTCGTTCTCCCGCAAAGGCTTACCAGTTGGAGTACGTCGTCCCATAATGTCCCATATGTGCTGAAAGGTGTTGAATTCTGGGTGGCATGTACACCAGTCAATTGGATAGATATCATCGATCTCGAGATCATTCACAGCAGTGGTTCGATTAAACGTAGCATTACCATACATGAAAAAAATGCCTCGTCAATGGATGACGTCACAGAATAAGCGAGCGAAACGCTCAGTAATATATCTACACTAGTGATCGCTGATGAGTATGTCATTGGGTTCAATCTATCATGTTATCTCCTCTCCGTCCCTTTAATAAACTGACAATCCCAATGGCTGGCCTTCGAGGGACTAGGCAAACTAGGCTAATCCCCTTACGTTGTAGGCATTACCACTAAACACTTCGAAGTATATTTTTACCTAACATAACATATTAACTATATTGTTTTTGCAAAGGCATTAAAAGGAACATCATTTTACCTCTTTTGAGACCGTGCGCCATTCGAAAGTAGCCAGGTTTCGCTAACTACTGGCGATAGGTAGTAAGTTATTTTAATTCTCTTATCAATCATTTAACTTTTAGAACTATATTTTAATTCACCTTTATGAAAGCGTTCGTATGATACATGAAATAATACGAAATAAGATATAGGGAAACAGTAATTCCGAACTTCAACTATTGAGAGGGAAGCGGTACGAAAATCTAGTCCTCTCATAATAAATAATTACAGAGCATGAGCAAGAAATCTCTGATGCCGTCTTATGACAACACGCTCATCTCTTGTCAAATATCACAAGCCCACCGTCTCATCGCTCGTCTATCACATTTTTAGGGATAATATAATTTGAAAAGACACAAAAATATTGACGAAAGCTAGGTCTACTTCAAATGTTCTCATATGTACAAGCATGAAATATTATGCCCTTTATTCCAAAACTATATATTCATATTTAATATTCTAAAGCGGATTATGATATCATTTCAAAAGGATAAATAAAAAATGTAAAAATAAAAGTAATTTTAGCAAAATAAAAAGTGTCCTGTTTTTGCCGGTCTTGTGCTTTATTTAAAATAAAATGTTTTAATTCATTATTATTATTTTTATGACACCCATCATTTTTTTAAAATTATTTATTTATTATTGTGAGATCATTTTGACTTTCCCCCTTTATCCTACTTTCATAAATTCAACTGAGCATTTTAACTATTACTGTACCCATTAGTCTTCATATTCAAAATACAATAAACTCTATCGGGAGGACCATCTTCTTAAAATAACCATTTCTGAAACTGACCAATGTTTCTGCGAAAGTAAACAAACATTGACGGCGAATTTTACCTGTCTGAGACAAACACCGCTACTATACGCACGCAGTCGTCTTAAGCAGGCGTCGAGTTATAAACTGAACTGACCGCCACTGGAAATTGGCCTATTGCTGTATCGGTCAATTTAAATACCTTCAACGGTACTGTCTGGGTAGCATTACACAAACGGTCAGCCTCGGAACATACAGCCCTCCGTAGTTGGAAATGCCGAATCCCAATTTGGCGGAATAATCTCTTTCTTTTGTTGCAAAAAGTATCAGATTTGCCCACCGGCTAATCTGAAACATTAATTACACTTAGATGATGATGCTAAATATTAATTTTGAACAATCGTAGATGGGAAATAATATTCTGTAGTGATTCCCAGACGCTCTACAGAATATCATATCTCACGTTTAAAACCTGGACGAAGCCTAGAGACAACCCTTAGCTTGATTCTAAATTGCACTGCAACTTGAGTGTGAGCCTTCTCTAACTTTCCCGCTATCTTTCTGTGTTTAAAATAATCGAGACAATGGCTTTACGAAAATTTCATGTTTGTAGATTTATTCTGAATTTTTGAAAAAAGGCTTCGTAAGTTGTGCTAACTTCCTTTTCGTATAATTTCCAGTGAATACATAATCCCTAAATGAAAGAATCGGAAATCCGAATATTCACCGATATTTTTACTGCGTATATTTTAAGAAAGCAAATCACAAGATGATTCGTGGAAATCTGCCGCGATAACTTTGCACCGTGACATTGATTCTTGAGTTTTAAACATGTGTGTAATATATATTCTCACGTCTCGATTTATAAATTAAATATCGTATCAGGAATCTTGTAGCGATTGAAAAATATTCAACTAATATTAGATATTCGTAGAATTCTGATTACCTGACGACCAGATGTCCGGAATATACGACACGATTATGAGATCTTTTTGCTTTGATAGATTTTCCTTCCGTATTATTATATCACTCTTGAATATCCAAAACTTAAATGATGCATGGTGAATTTGTTGTTCTTGCTGTTTAAGAAAAAAAGCGATCTACCTATAAAGTTGCCAAAATTTCATATATCATGGAAAACGCATGTGTTTATCGAAAGAGGCATGCGTTTTCCATGATATATGAAAATCGTGTTTAGATTAACTCTAAAGCTGGCATTTTTTTTTTCTGAAATAGTATACTTTTATTTTTAAATGTCCAAAGTAGCATTTGGAGTATATAATCGTAATGTATAGCTACAAATTCTACCACGTAAAGAAGGGTGAGAGATAGCCATGAAACAGCGTATTATCAACATACAGAAAACTATAAACAAAACTCTTCTTACACCTTTTGAATTACATTTTTTTTTTTCATACTATATCGCCTCGTGGCAGCGTTTGTCCGCCAACAGCAGAAATAAAGAGCCAAACTACATTAAAGCCAATAATAATGAAACTATGCTTATATGATGCTGTGACATGGCGTTCGTATTAATTAAATTTATCAGATATATCAAAGTCAGGCAAGCTTGCATTTGCACAATAGTCAGACGGTGTCTATGATTAAACAATTATCTTTTAAACAAAGCACAGAATTATTCACATTGCCTTTGAAAGAGTATCATATATTCTGAGCTTCTGTGCGGCAAGGGAAAGAAAGCAGTTTTTTCCTTAGCTTATATTTTAAATATTTATTATAATTTGAATATTTTTTACAGGGAGCTACCATCAAACCTTTGGTGGATTTATTGAAGATACGAAGACAGGCTACGAAAATTCATAGCAGTTTGTTTACGGAAGTCAACAAAAAGGTATCTTTCAACTATTTTCTTACCTACAAACATAGGTTTAATTCCTTGAATCTAAAGTCAATTGTAGCCATCTAAAATCAATGTAGACCGAATTAACTCACTCTGCAGAAGATTCTTATATTCGAAATAATAACTCTTTTCTGTGTCCGTCTTAAATGCATCCAGAAGTGCCGGGTGGCCATAAAATAACTTTCTCTTTATATGATCTCCAAAGTGACCGCACATTTTAATAAATCGATGTGAAACCCAAGATAAAAGGATGGAAAGGAGATTGATGTGAATAACAGCAATCGAGCTTTCACGTTTATGGTCACTGTAAACAAATTCCGAAATTTCCAACAGGAACACCCTACTTTTCTTGTTGTAGTGTGTTCGGTACGGTGGTTCATTAAAAGTTGTAAAATAACCATCTCCCCCCCCCAAAAAAAAAAACCTCTAAAATACCGAATACAGTTAAAATATCAATTTTTACAATTAAAAATAGAATTTCTACACCAAAACAAGCAATTTTCCCTGCGGGGTTAGAGAGAAAAAATTTTCGGTTCATCAAAATTTAAAACTAATTTTTTACCCCGCTGGGTAAAACGACACCACATCTGGTGCACGAACTGACTTAAATTACTTACTACTAAAAATTTCAAGTGTAAGAAAATCCACAGTACGTTAAGCGTAGCTCCGCTTAGATTTTTAAATTGTTGATAATTCTAAAATTACCGCATGCAAGTAACTAAAGGCATAAAAACCTTAACCAGAATATATGAACAACGTAATTCAATCACTTTTAAAGCAAAAGATGCACAATTTAACAACATATAAGAATAAAAAAAACAGACCACCAAGCCTGATAAGTGGGTGGTATATATATATATATTGCTTAGTTTCATGCTTATCTCAATTATTTATATTTATTCGTTTTCCTGAGTTGGCAGTACACTTTCGAGTATCATCGCTATGGAATTGGGTCGCAGTTGGCAGCATACGAACAGTTCCTGAGTTGGCATCACACGAATATCGTCGCTATGGATTTGGGTTACTAGAATGAAGCTGACTTAATCGAACTTTTTTATCGGATTATTATTAGATGCTTGTACAGCTGTTTAACTATTAATAGCTTTGTGATCTGATTTACTATAAGTATTTGAATTCATTAAAATCATATCAAAAACAAAACTTCTCATTCGCATTTCAGCGCCATTTGATTAGTGGCTAGTAAACATAAATAAAAACGTTTGGGGATGTTTTAAACACGTTAAAAAAACGGAGTTACACAACTAGATGTTATGGCAATCCCATACACAAAATTTCAACGTTCTATGTCTAATCGTTTTCAAATTGTACGAAATGTATACATACATACGTACGTACAGACGTCACTGAAAAAATCCCTTCTGAATCCATTTTAAATCTATTTTACAATCCAGTTTCTTTTTAATATTCTTTATTCTATCCGTAGATACAGACGTCATGCGAAAAAATCGTTTAAATGGATTCGAGAGTGGTCAAAATGGATATCTCTATTGATATACAATACCCAAAACATTTCGCGATCACAATACTTCCTTTACTTCGTACAAGGATGTAAAACGCTATTTTGAATGGATATGTTGAACATTCGCTTAATTTTCGCGGTCTGCATTCTTTTGCCGAAAACGCATCACGCGTAAAAATTTTATAATATTTGATTAAATGTATTTCGTTTTTGCTGCTTCCACCCATCGACAAGGAGGTGTTTATTACAAGTACTGAATTGTCATTAGAAAGAAAATCAACAGTACGTTAAAATGCTCATTATGCTGCAGTTAAGCTGCAATAATGCAAATTACGAGTGTTTACAAAAACAAAACCAAAAAAAAAAGGGGTGGGAAGCCTAATGTTTTCCCCGCGTTCTTACTCCTCCTCTTTTTTTTTTTTTTTTTTTTTTTCTTTTAAGTTCTCACACCATCGTTTATCGAGATACACATACCATTCCAAAGCATTTGTTGGTGTTTCATTATCGATCATACTGTGACGCGAGAAAGTGGAAAATTTTCGAAATTTATGTGCTGTTACTATAACCGTGAGAGTTTAATTATTGTTACCCACATTATTTTCGAATGCATACCTTGCAATTTTTATTTCTGCAGTTCCATTTCCATTCGTTGAGCTGTACAGTCGCTGGAGACTAGTATAAAGTTATTTGATAGACATCTTGCATATTTTTTCAAAATTTCTATAAAAATTTATTTCCATTCACGTTTGTTTGAACTCTTTTGACGTTATAAAAGCAATGTAGAGAGAGTATTTCCAAATATCCAGTCTATTATTCTACCAAGTCACTCACGCAACCTGGCAATTGTTGGCTGCGCTCGAAACCTTAAATCTTAATTTTATATTTCAAATTTTAGCATACGTTTCCTGTACTTTTAATGATTTAAAAGTAGTTACCGTGCTTCTGAATAGTTTATACATTAATTTTTTTAATTGATATAATTTATAATATATATAACTGATGATTTTTATCAACGGTTTCGGCATTAATGTAATTAGTAAAAGTTGATTTTAACGCCCCATAATACGTACTTCGAAATAGAGCATTTGTCTGATCTTCCCTGCAGAATGTATTTTGCATGCAGAAGCTTCATTTAAAGTTTTCTAATTCAGTTTTCATATTTGTTTTATAATGATTACCTATCTTTAACTGAATTTGAAAGAACTGATTCTCTGCATGCAAGGTTTTACAACGCATTTACTTGAAAGTAAAACTCTCTCTTTTATAATATTTTTGTTGTTATAAATGCAATGTCGTCCCCAGAATCGGAACATCGGATCTGAGGATTGCTAGCCGGACGTGCTTCCAATTAAACCACGAAGGTACACTGTAAGGAGGGCGAAAAGATCTTAACATTTTGCCTCACATGATGACTACTTAGATCAAATCACCATGTTCTGGTGGTGACGAATTATCGTCCACAACATTCTTTTTACTATAGAATTTACCATTTATTGATTGAAGCCGAGGAATAGTATAAATCATATAAATCATCCCTGCCCTCGCTGGGAATTGAACTCCAGACCTTCCGATTGCTAATTAGATGTGCTTTCAATTATACCAAGAAGGCATGCGGTAAAGAGGGAGAAACACCTTACATTCTGCCCACTTAAAGGGCCAGTGGGGCAGAGAAGATCCACTCGCCAAATCCTGGTGGTGGCGAATTATCGTCGTCATCTTTTTAAACTGGGCTCCACTTAGCTATTTAAAATTTTTGAAAGCTAAGATAATAAAGAAAGCCACAATCCCGTCGCCAATATTTGAACTCTGGACCTCAAGATTGCTAGCCAAAAGTGCTTCCAATTACATTGCCAAGGCCCGTGGTAAGGAGGGGAAAAGGACCTTACAAGTCAAATAGCAAAATAAATGGAAAGAGAGAAATTGCCTACAGATAATTACAGCATCAGCATATATAAATGCACAATTACCGCTACTTATAATAACCACGTCCAGCTGTATGATTTCAGTTTATATCCATTATATTGTTATGCTTGAGAATGAATAGACAAGAAAATATACCTTACCATTTCTTTATTTGACGGCGCATAGCTAATGGTGTTGTTACTTTAAGGAAATTCAGAATGAAGAATGATAACCAAAATTCTCTTTCTTGGAATTACTACGAACTAAACTCACCTGTATTTTTAATTCTTAAAATTCATCCTAAAACGTAAGGCTGTTATATTCGGAGGTTCTTATTTTCAACTAAATACGATATATACAGTACAAATTTATTAAATCAGTAACTGCGTTTCTGTCCACTAACACAGCTTACATTTGCATTCATTTCATTTTCTTTACATTGCCATAATGAGGAAGTTTACGAATAACGAATGCATTTTGGTTCATTTTTACTTATTTTACTATTAGCTGCCTTGTGGCTGTGACTGCATATATCTTTATCTGCATATATATTTTAACGATCTAATAAATAATTACTTTTTAAGGCTAGAAGTTCGAAATGCTACATTTCAGAATTTCTGTTTTATAGAATAATTTCACGTTTGTGTGATGTAATAACATCCCGGGCTTTCAGACTTGAACAAACATTATTTTCTATTGTTTTTCCTTATTTCTTTACGGTTTCTATTTTTAAAACAAATATTGCGCGAGACAGATAAAATCGATTGGACGATCATCTGCACTTTTTTCTTTGAAGGTCGCTTGGATCAACTTCTATCCTTCATACTGTCACCGACAAAGTGATGTTACCAAGTACTCAGTTTAAGACCACTCTACCACTTGCTTTTAACGTTTGAAGATCGATTCGCTTAGAGAAAAGAGGATTTCAGCAAAGTACAAAACTTCATTCCGATAAAAGAAAAATAGTACACCAGGCAGCTCGGAAAAATGGGACTACCTTTATTTTCTATTAGTTGTTCCTAGACAGATGTATTTCTAACTGGAAGACTTCCTAGATACAGATGTTCACGGAAACAGCTAAATGTTATGCAAGGAGATGTACGCGTTTCTTGTAAATTTATAGTTTATAATATTTTATCTTGTAAAAGATTATCGCATTTTCCCAACCTTCTTTTGGGCAGTAATTATGAATAGCTATCAGTTGTAAGATCCATGGCTCGAATCCTGGCGAGGGCAAAGTTAATTTTTCACATGTCATGCTCCAAGAAACCCAATGTTTTCTACACTCTTATATAACGTTTTCTACATTACTCTTATGTTTTCTACACTCTTATAGTAAAAATTCAAATTCATATAAAGTATGTCTCACGCTTTTTTTTTTTAGTTAAAACAGCGGTTTTCAAGCATTTTTTGGTTTGAGACGGCCTTGGATATCAAAAATTTTTTTATCGTGCCCATTATCAAAAAATAGGCCTACTTGAAAATTATGACAGCAGCTGATGCATTTAGTGTGGTTAAAATTTTAAAAAATGAATTCTGGTTACCGAGGGGTTCTTTTTTCCCCTTCCATACAAGACACATCTTTTGAAATCTTGGTTTTATATTGGACATAATTGCTTCATTCTTATTCTACGATAGTTTTTTCTGAAATCCGATGAAATCCCAGTTTGTCCAAACAAGGCGTCCTATACTGGCATATTTATTTGCTTTTAAGGATCTCTAAAAGTCAGTAAATTTCCTTGTTGTCGAAGTTTATCTTCGATGTATTGTTGCAGGATAGATAGCTGAGATTTCCTTCTCTGCCAGTGTAAATTCGGAAGAAGCTTTCATTCTGAAAAGACCTTGAATCTATGGTAATTTGTCGACGTTATAGCCTTGAGAATAATTTTCCGATCAGTCTATAAACTCTTATTTCTTTTCAAAAATGTGATTGTAAAGTGTCTTTTAGATGTTCTTACTATCACAACATCAGTGCATTGCTGGTCCGATCCTAAAAATTCATAGATTAGATATGATTTCTATAATAATTCTAGAATATTTCGCGGCTGCTCCGTAAGCCACTCAAGACACTGCGATTCATAGTTTGAGAACCACTGGATTTAAATAAAAGTATGCCCTAATTTTCGAACTTTGGTCAGGTAATTAAGATAGAATCTTCTTGCCCATTAGCAATTTAAATCAAATTTCCTTTTAGGAAAAACTGAATCAGTAGCTGAATATTTGAAGTAAATGTAAAGCTTATTTATAATCAAATTTTCAATTTTTATTATAAATAAACTTTACATTTGCAGCTCGCTTTTATAGTGAAAGCGTTTTTTAGCGAAAATATTTATTAAACGGAATTTTTCATGTAAAGCTATAGACCTTTTTTTCCCCTTAACTAATTAAAGCTATTTTTAATTCTCATTAATAAGCTTGTTAAGTTTAGCGAAAAGATTTATTAAATCTGAATATTTCATCAAAATCTATAAAATTTTACTGTTTTCAGTTAATTAAACCGTAATATTTTATTGAATGAAATATTTTCTTCGAATTGATGGTATATAAATATACTTTGTAAAAAATTAGACCATAAAATAAATTCCTCCGAAATAAAAACAACATATACATAAAAAAAAACTTTATTAAGAGGTGTCGCAAAATTATTCTGTGAAACTTAAGTTAAATAAGAAATGTCACAAAAGTGTAGTGCAATAATAAAAACAAGAAAAATTAAACTATCTTGTACAAATCAAATACATTAAATTTATTATTTCATTATTCGTGAAATCAGAAATTTTCAGTACTATATTATTTACTCGAAAATTATTTTCTGCCCATTTTCTCATTGTACACTCCCTCAACATCACGAAGTATATTTCACGTAATACTACGTACTTAACGTAACCCAACATCACTTAACTCAGTTAACATCACTAACGTATTTAACTAGGTTTATGTCTAAAAAATAATATGAAGAGAAACGGAAAAGAGCCAATTTTTGTAGGTGCAAATTACAATCGGATATATTGAAACATATAAAGGCATTGTCAGAATAGCACTTGCATTTAATGGTTAAAATATAACAAGCAGTTAAAGAGCACAACAGGCATTACTTACTAAATGAGTCTAATAAAGTACTGTATGGGAAGGACGGAGCTGACGATAATCCACGTCGCCGTCGGTTGCGGGAATTCGGGATAACAGACATACTAATATTAAGGTCAATCATATTTCTGGATGCCCGTTAGTGGTTTAGCAAATGATCTTTATCCAGATGTCCATGAATTGTCAGAAACATTGTTAGCACATAGAATAGCTGTCAGAAAACGGATGTAGAAACTTGACATCTCAGAAATAAATGAGATCTGCACTAGTTTTCTGAGAAGAAATGAAGGGAAGGAATCAATACCAGTATCTTTGCTCTATCTGCTTACAGAGCTGAAGGATTTTTGGGAATGAATTGTAACATGAAATGATAAATATGTCATCTACTGTAATCTCGAAAATCAAAGGACTGTACTCCGAATTGTAAACTTGTGCTATAAACTTAAAATCCGAAACATATTTTCAGTTAGATGTAAAACGAATATATATTTGGAGCTCCCTAGGCTTGATCAAATGATAATTCTGGCATCTAATGCCAACAGTTAAACAGACCGAATATCTTTGTGGAGGTACTTCTCAATAGCAAAGACTTTCACCATCATGATGCTGCTTGAATCGTTTAATAAAAATTGCTGGATTTTGGTTTAGTAATGTTATTTCGTTCGATGTATTCCGTGAACGCTACGTCTCCGGCTTACCATCCTTTTCGATCATTGTGAAGCACTTTTGCTCTCCAAAACTTTAATGATGTGCAGAATGTGAAAATGGAGTTAAACAATATTTTTGAGTGACTTTTATCGACGTGGAACAAACCTACTACCAGGCAGATGTCAAAGTGTCATGAGAAATGATGGCAATTACTAGAAGTCTTAGGATTTCACTTCTTGTTTCTTTACGTATCGCTTTCTGCTAAGAAACTAACTACAACTTTTCCTGGTATCCAATAGATGGAATCTAGCTTCGTCAAACCATCGAAAAGCAAATTTAAGACCGAAATCTTTATGAAAAGGAAGAGAAACAAGAACAAAAGAAATGCCGATTCTTATGAGCTTTGTTGAAGGAACCGGTGCAAATGTTTACAAATTTGTAGGATTTGTAGAATAGGTTATTTCGAAGTTTTTAAACACTATTATAAATCTGCAGGCAATATTTCTGCGCATCATGTCATTAACAGTAAGATCTAATAAGCTGATAATTTGTTTAGGCTGAAGATTACGTAGAGTTGCTGTCATAAAAGGCTTCTAGATTATAAGTAAAAAAAAAACTATTACATTCTTTTAATAGTACATGTATTCAACTAACTGTATATTATGTTTACTACTATAACATACAATAAAATAACTGTTTTATTGTCTAGTTGCTGGATCACGTCATGGCAGGAGTTGAAGAAGTTACAGGCGACCATGGAGGAAATTATTGGAAGGTAACAAAAATAACAAATTTGAATTTAGTTGTTGGAGCTTACGGAATATTTGCTTGTCATTAAACAGATTAAAATCTTTCATAGGAAAGTACTGAAGGTGTTTTTATGAAACTTTTAAAATATTTTGCATTTCATAATTTTATTTTGAAATTCTTAAAAATGTTTGTTGGTTGAATTGTAATAAGTATCATTTTTTTTTTAAGAATAGAAGAAAAAATATTATTTTAGTGAATGGAACGGTAGGACAAAAATTTTATAGTAACTGTACATTTAAAATATATATATATATAATTTCAAAACATTTCTTTGAAAAACAAAATATGAACCTGCCTAGTATTTTCGCGCATTAAGCTGCAGAAAAATTATCATTAAAGATATAAAGTAAGAAATTTAGAACTAATATTTCACAAAGACCAGAAATTGAAATTCATATTTAATAAATTTCAAATAATTATATAAATGCAACAAAGAATTTAAAAATTTTAAAACCAAAACATTTCAAACAAGCAAAACCCAATTTCAAAAAATTAAAACAGAAGAGGAATTCAATCAACCTCAATGCCACTTCATCAGCGGGAGGAACAGTGAAATTAATTGAAATCTCTCTTCCAAAAAATCCTTGCTTTTCTGCATCCAGAATTAGCCGATGAACCATTTCAATGTATTTTAATTAAAATAGTTCACCCGAAAATTCTGGCCCTTTCCCAAGCAACGAAAAAACAAAGTAAATTCTAATTACAATAATTAGAATAATCTTAAGTAACGAGAATTCCATTTTATTAAAAGAATTGAAAACGAAAGTGAAAAAAAAAAAAAAATACTTCAGTGAAAAATTTTAAATCAAAATGAAATTTATTAATTATGAATTTCAGTTTTTGGTCTTTGCGAAATATTAGTTCTAAATTTCTTACCATATGTCTTTAATACATATATTAACAAAGATTAATATCAGTGTGTAGGTTAGTTATTTTATTGTATCTTAAAAATAAATATACGTATTCAATTAAAAATTAATATCGTATCTAATTTCAAGGTAATATATTCCACTATTTTCATAAAATAAAGCTAAAAAGTTCTTTAAAAAGGCATCTAAGGAATAATTTCAAAACTTATACAAATTTACAAATATGCAATAATTAAAATCTATTTTCCATATAGAAATCTGAAGCAACTTCCTCCTGATAGTTTATCTTAAAAAATTTAATTAAAAGTTAATTAAAACAAGACTTCTGTGACGATTTTTATACGTCAAAACAAGCATGGAATTTTAAGAAGGAAAAATATTTTCATTTTATTGTGACTTGTCTCAGAAGTCAAAATATGCATGGCAATCACGAAAATCTGCGCCAGTAAGTTATAAACCGCACTGCATACCAAAACAAAAAGGCAGTAAACCATATTAAGATAGTTCTTCAAAGCTGTTAAGGCTCACCAGCGGCTGAACTGTAAAATTCTTTAACACTGGTTATTCGGCTTGGGTTTAAACTCAAGGACAGCGAGCTGACTGCATGGACGTTTTCATTGCTTTCTCCACGTATACTGTAGATACGAGCCAGTCTCCCTTAAAAAGTACTCCCAAAATCGTACGTTTTATCAATACAAGCAAATCAAATTAAAGCTGTTAAACAGATAACAAACTAAAAATGACGAAAAGAAAAACTAGTATAGGTTGCTTAGCCATTTTTGAACAAATGTGATAAAGCTAGTAATTGAAATTAATTCTGATATTGAATGATCAATTTTTGCCTGGAGCAGTCACAAATGTTTTTAGCTCAAAACCGTTCAGCTGGGGAATATATTTTAAGGTAGAATATATTCCGCATTGTTGCCGCATTTTCCAAAGAAAAATATTCATTTTTTAAATTCTATTCCTCTTTCATGTTCTACTTTTTTAATAAAAAATTGGATGCGGGGATCTTAGACTGAAGATTTCTAAGACACAATAAACAAAATTATTCACAACAAAAGAAAAAAAGCGACACGTACTGTTTTCTACAGGATAAAAGAGTCAAATGTTTATGAATAAAAGTAATTACTGAAATGTACTCCAAACCCATTTCAGAAATTAAATCTATGGCTGTAAAAGAGGATTCATCTACTGAATAAACACTTTGGTCAGTTTTTAAAATACCTGCCTCTGAGTGTGAATGAAGTAATAAACAAGGAGCGAAAACTAAAAAAAGTAGACGTTATGATATTTATCGTCTTCTTCAGAAACATGGGACATAATTTAAAACCAGACGAGGATTCTTCACTAAAATTATTTATAACGTGATAGAGGAAATTTATTGTGACTGTTGATAAAACATGACCAAATTGGATGGATTGCATTAGAAAGTGATATCAACCAATTTTCTATCCTGAAAAAGAAGAAAATAAATTAAAAATTTAGTTACACGGGTCTAAAAATGTTTTAGTTAAATGTTTTAGTCAAAACTTTTATCATTATAGTTGGTTCACTTTGCGAGAAAACTAAACTTACCTGTATTGTTTCACTTCTGTTGCCAGTTGCCTTACCGGAGATCGAGTAGTTAAGACCGCTGAATGCTGGTACTTCAAACTGGTCTCGATGTCAAGCTAAGAGGTGGCTTCATGGTCGTTGTTCTTAGTTTTCCTCATGTGTAACGTGAATATAACCCGGTTTCCCTTAGAAAGTTCTTCACGAAGGCATTTCTCCCACTATGCAGACAGCCCTTGTGTGCTTTGCCATATTTAAATAACCTAGCCTGCTGTCAGTTCCTGCTGACAGCTAACTGCAAAATATAATGAAAGCGTAAATGATTGCTAAAATTTTCTGGTAAATAGTTTCACAACGTTCCTACGACGCCACATTTCTCGAACTCCCTAAAATGCCAGTTCTGGCGAGAGTTTACCGAATGTTGTAAAAGCCAGGATTCGTAGACCTTAATAGTCAGAATTCATAATTGAGAATAAAACAGTGAATTCTCAAAACACGAAAAATTCTATTAGAAATCTTGACGTTATCTTTAGTTTACTCTGGGTTCTTGCAAATTTTTCAAACTTTGTTTAAAGGAAACTGCAATTAAATGCTAATTCTTTACTATTTACAGCAATTGCTGTTCTACTATAACAGCAAGTACCTAAAGAAATGGCTGCAGTGCAAGACTACGGAGAGTAACCTTACCCGTGTATATACTAGGATGATGCTGGAGTAAGTGATAAAATCTATTTAAATAGTAAAGATGTTTGGAGTATGAAAGTAGCATACGATAATTTCTTTTACAGAAATTATTTTACTAGTAGTGCTGGTATACAATTTTACGAGAAATTATACTGTAAAACCTTGTTTTCTTCTTCCTCTGTTTTATGAGTTAAAACATGTCTTTAAAATATTTGTGTTTTGGTATAGTTATTTAAAAAAAAGAGAATTTTTCTGTTCACTATATATATCTATCTATCTAAGGACACACACACAAAAAAAGTCCCGTTCAGCAAAAATTGACTGAAGTATTTAATTTCAAAATTTGCGATTTTTGACATCATATTCCGTTTGTTTTGAGTGGTCGGTTTATAAATAAATTAGAATGATTCGAGATTAATTTCCTCCCCTAAGTGCCATTCAATTATATTGTTTTGTTATTTACTAGTGTCTTTAATGTATAATTTTGTTACATTTAGTTTACCAAAAGAATCTTCACAGAAGTAGTTAATAAGGTTCAAAGCCTGAAAATGTGTTATTAATATTTTCATGAAGCTGCATTACTTTAGAACTACAATCTGCTAATCGTATTAAAAATTCATTAAATTGCAAATATTTTTCCTTTTTAATTAATGCAAATTACATTAAGAGTTGTGTGCGTTCCAATACTGAAACTTGCCAGTTTTTCCTAGAGCATTAATTATGTAAGATTTTATGAAATAAGATTTCCACTTCGAAAAACTTTGCTTTGATCCATACTTTTAACAATAATCTGCACAGAAATGGTCATCACTTAATCTCTTAACATCAGAAATATTTTTCTAAATTTGCGTTTTATTTTTAGTTACGTACACATGCAAACCTTTCTCTCTTCCATTTGTGCACGTCCCCTAAATATGATCTCCGATTTGAATACCCAATATCTTGATCAGTTTTTATGATACGGAAGTCCCACTCTCTAGTTTTATTTTTTATAACAAGTAAAGAATTTCCTAAATGTAGGTATAGGAGCCGGAAGAATATATAAAAAGTTAGACTTGGTAATTTTAAATAATTGATTTCTTTTATAAGGTATTTCTCCCACTTTCCTAGCGTACCTTCGTGGTGTGGTGGTTCTGCACGCTGGACCAGTATTCCAGAGGTCCGCGGTTCGATTCCCGACGAAGGCGGTTGTTAATTTTTCACCTCTCCGGCTTTTCCAATTAACCTAATGTTTCTACACTTTCAGTTTAATAATTCCGAAAAATGAACATTAGTGTCATTTGTAAAAACATTTTGTAACTGGAAGTATAGGTCTATGACCAACGGTCATGAAAATAAAGGCCGGGTGATGACTTTGTGGACACACTGACAGAGACAGGGGTGTTTTAGCCGCAGCTCTGGTTAAGTCAGAATTTAAAGAATAAAGTCTTCGAATATTTATTAACTTATTATGTAATATAAAAATTACGTAATAAATAGGAAGACAAATATTTAGAGCCATATCACACGTTAAAAATATTTTAGTTGAACAACTTTTTAGCGCAGTTTTTCTGCTTCTTCACGTAATATAAAAACAGAGCCAATCTCCACGATCCCCATATAAAGAGAAAACTGGTATTCCATTCCAAACTACAAAAGGTCCAAACTACAAAGTCTACCAACAAAGAGCTCCCTTCGAGTTGTTTGACTCGATGCTGATAGTTGACTAGTTTTGCAACGTTTTATGGATGGGAGCAAAAAATCATGGGTCTTTCTTTCATTGATAAAACCTCCGAAGCAGACGGATGTATCATACTTTTCATACGAGCTTCATTTAGTGATTTTGTAATCTATTCAAACAGAGTTTGCTTCGTGTCTTCGGTTTAAAAGGCTTCAAGTGAATTAAAGTGGAAATATGAAAGAAATTGTCTCTGATATTATCAGGGTCAATGTTCCTTCTTACCTTCTTCGGGAACATACAAGGACCTGACTCGGAACAGAGAGCTTACTAAAGCTATGTTCACTAATTGTGGTAAGTAGACAGGATACAGACGAAGGGTATACAAAACCCTTTATTTTTCTCTATATACAATAACTTCCGTACTTCGGAATACATGACCTCCACTATTGGGGTCTAACGTAAAAGTATAAAAATAAAACTAACTACTCTAATTAACTTTAGAATAATAACGTGGAAGATTGGCCTTATATTAAAACAGGAAGCGTATGTAGTACAGAGACTGTGAACACTACAATACGTTTAATTTATCAAGAGGATTAAAACCTCTGGCCTGGAAGGCAAACAGCAACTGCGTAACTTCTAAGGTAAGCGGCCTGCTTTGACTCACTGCTTCCTCTCTCTCGCTTGGCAAAAAGGCCACAACTTAAATACTTGGCGTTCGCCAGACAAACTTTGCATAAAACCTTAACGCTTATAATTCTGGCCGGAAGTAGAAAATAAGAAGTGATAGTAAAGATTTAAAATAAAAATAAACGTTAGTAAAACTTAAGATCCTTACATACTTCCCGCCAGAGTTAATTAGTTTGAAACTGAGGTTTTAAAACGACCTTGTTGAAAACTTTTAGCTCTAGAATCTAACGCGAGGCCAATCTTTTTACAAACATACTTCGCTAGAAACTAGAAATTTAAAAAGAAAGAAATTTTTTTTTTTTTTTTTTTTTTTTTTTTTTTTTACAATAGCAGCTCCCAGGATATACAACATTTTTTTTTTCATCTGTACTGCATCTAAACGGGAGCTTTTATTCAATTCTGGTTCCTTCCAGAGATCTGGAAGGAAAACTAGTTTAATGAAATGTTACACAATGAAATGGCAAGTAACATATACAATTATACTTCTCTTAACATTCTTATTTCATTCATGACTATTTTAATTATCTCTCCCCGTGCTCTCTGACATGTGTTGTTAAAAGAACACCAAACACGAATGTGGTTTCTGTCTACGTGTTCCACACTTCCTCCTACAATCCTCCTAAAAAACACTAACGTGTTAAAATTCAACATAACAAGACCTCTTAACACACCCCTAATTTCAACTCTAAACCCTGAGGTACTATTCTGAAAGTGGCTAACTCTAAAGTGTAGCGTCAGAGAGCCTAACTACACATCATTCAACCTTTAACACATATTCGCCATGATTTAGTCTTTTTGCAGTCACACGAATAAAAAAAAAAGTTTTAACATTCTTTCACTTTTACCCATATCACGGTATTTCTTAACATTTAAAAAAACAGTTCACATTGTATATAAGAACATATCAACATGCCGTTAATTTTACACATTTGAAACATAACATTAGGAGTACCTTGTTAACTTCTATTCTTTTTCAAAGCAAGTGCCAATTCTTTCTACATTGAATGAAATAATACATTTCAAAAAAGTCTTTCAGACTAAAACTTCTTTCTTGCTAGAATGTTTTAAATAAAATTTATACAATAACTTTTTTCAATATTTAAGTCTTTACACAACGCTATTATACATCAACTTTAGTTTTACGCGCGAGTAATTGAAAAACCTAATACCAAAATCGGTAACAACTCATTTCTCGCCCTTTTGGCGATAAAGGTAGACCTCGCATGAGGTAAAACTTCTTGAAATCTGCCACTTGCAGTAAGAATGAAAGATTAACTTAAGTTTGCAAAGTAACATAAAATTTTACTTATCTTTGTAATATTCGGACATCCTTTTCTGGGCCCAGTCTTTAAAGGTGCTGCAAGACCGTAGCTTGGTTTATCCTCCTTCTTGTACGGGCTCGCCCTTCAGTGCTTTCCTCTGGAAGCTTCCGTTTTTCACCAGTACGGCCACCCTTGAACATCTTCCTTTTGTGCTCTCTGCTTGTGGTCTTGGCCGTTTGAAGGCAGCTGGTCTTGGCGGAACCGGGAAACTTCTGTCGTGATCCCTGCTTGGACCTCGTTGTTGGCCGTTCAAATTTTCTTGTAACTTTTTCCTCCGCCGCTGATGGCCCTTCCGCAGTTCGGCGACTTTTGCTGCGGAGAGTTCTGTCGGATGAGTCAATCTTCCGTTTCACAGCCGGGTTATAGTTGCCGTCCTTTCTCCTGGTCTTTTCCAATACGTCGTCCTTCTCCCTTCTTCATTCTGGGGTGTTTTCGTGAACTCTGTTTTTTGGACGGTGGAACGGCTTCTTTTTCTTTTTACCTTCAGTTTTTTTTCCGCGGGGCAATTTTCTTTTCACTTGCTTCTGTCTCTCATTGGCTTGCCCTTGTACTTGTCGTTTTCCCACCTCTGGAACTTGTACCTGCGGTGTCTGCCGTGCCGGATCCTGCAAAAGATCTGAAAAGATTTGCATTTTATTACGATCGAAGTAGGGCTTGATTTGATCAATGTTTGCGGAACAGGTTTCAC